ATTGATTATTTTTTGGTTTTGTTTTGTAATTAAAAACCCCTGCCAAAGCTGGGTTGCTCATATTATTAGCAGCTTGACTTTCACAGATTACAGTGGTAGGGATAAGGATATAGATTGTGCTGGTGTTGTGAGGGGATGCTCTGTTTAGGAAAGTTGTGGTTGTAGAAGCTTGTCACTGGAGTGCAGGAGCTCTAATAGCTGAAGGCTTTGGCATTCTTCTTCCCTACCATTTCTTATGGAGCAGCATGGACTCTTGGGGCTCCTCTTATTGCAGCTTTGGTCTCTCAACAGATGTGTTCTCAACTTATTTTGTCTGGAACAGAACTTACACAATTGCCCAGAACAGTAAAAAAAGCTCTGCCAGAGGGGAAGCATTGGTGCTGTTGCTGTACTGCTTTTGAGGTCCTCTGTCATAGTATAGGTTGGAATTGGATTTGGAGTTAACGTGGGTGATAGGAATAGGTAGGGAAGTGTAAGTACTTGCAACATTTACAGTGAAGGGTTATTTTCAAAGTTTTTATGAGTAGACACAATTAAATTCTTTCAGAAGTTGTTTCAGATTTCTCATATACTCAAGTGCTATATATCGGCTTTGCTATGTTTGATTGGTGAGTACTTTGGTGGTCTGTATTTGTAGAAGCAGTTTCATTGCATGACAGGACTACTGCTAATGACTCCAGTATTTTTGCTTGAGTGCATGTACATGGTTTTAAGATAAACAGACGACTTCTCAAAAGTCAGCTCCTTTGTTCTCCAAGTGCCTGTTATTTGAGAGGGTGGAGAAGTGGGGCAAATCTTAGAGTCTAAAATAAGCAGCTGTCCCCTTTCTTTCCACCCACTGCTTCCCGCAGCTCTGTATACCTCCTTGCACTTCTGTACTCTGTGTCTGAACTCATCCGAGTGAATCCAGCAAGCTGTGTAATGTCCTGTCAGGAGTCTTGATCCTCCTGAGATTCTTTTCTCCTGGCTCGTTTTTCTGTGTCTTCCGGAGTGTCTGTTGTCCCTCTGGGATTGCATTAACTTTACATGCTGGCTGGAGAAATCATTAGTCATAGGAGCAGCAAATGGTACAAGGAAATCTCCTTTGGACTGCCACAGCAGCTTTGCTTTCATCAAGTCTCTCTTGTAGCTCCCTGTACAGCCCTGCCACTGCATTCTGTACTTGTGTCCCTGCCCCATTGCTGGGTTTGCATTTCTCTAAAACTTTCTGTGCCTAAGAAGATCCAGGTCTTTCCTGGGACATGTACCATTAAATGGTCTTGCTACAGCTTCATCTTTGTACGGATGACTTCTTTTCATGCAAAGTAATTTCAAAGAAAGGCATTTCCCAAACATAGCATGATTTTTTCAGAAGTGGGAAAGAAGGAAGGATGGGGAAACTAAATATCGGGATCACTGTGACTTCTGAGCAGCAGAAGTCAAACGTATTTCTAGAGAAGTGTATTTTGGAGTACACTTTGGAGTGTACTTTAGTTTTATTAGTATAAGCAATACAGCTTTCATACCTGTGGAGCAAAACACCCGTTCATAAGGGTGAAAAATTGTTTTATCAGTGAAATGCAAACTGCTGCCCACATTTGTGTAGTGCTGTACTGATAAACACTATTTCTGTTGAGAGAGCTTTTGTAGTGTTTGCAATCTGGAGTTAAGGTCAGAATATCTACAACAGTTGTGAGTCTGCTTTGCCCCCTGGGCTGTGGATATTGAGCTGTGCTTTCTCTCCCAGATTTCTTTGGTTTGTACCTAAATGGAGCATAATATAAACACAGGGTTATGAGGAGGCTGAATGTATGGTTTGTAGAGCTGGGAATGGCTGCAGGTCCAGCTCTGTTTATGCTCAATGCTTTCTGGCCAAAAACTGCTACACAAGGGATTGGTCTCCAATCCCACCACTTTGTGTTCCTGCCCTTTCTCTTGCTTTGGCTTAGCAACTGTGTGAGCAACGTCCTCAGTGCTCTGGAAAAGCTCACTGGTCCTGTGGCACACTGAGTATTTATTTTGGGGTGTCTGTTTTCCGATCGCAGCTGATCTGAATCATTACATGGAGGTGTGATTGGTAGATCAGACGCAAGAAAAGAAGTGGGAATACATGTGGCAGGTTGGAGCAGAAAAGAGGAACTGCCTCTTGCAACCTCTGCAGTTAAGATAAAGGTATGGGTGCTGTGAATCTGTACCCAGGGCAATGGGAGACTTTAGATCTATCCCTCTTTGTTGGTGGCTTTCTTGTCATGAGGCTTGAACAAAGCTGTGACTGTTGCATTGAGCTTTTTGTCTGCATAGTGAGGGATCCTTATTACCCTGTGGTTAAAGAAGATGTGGTGATTTTATTCTGTTGTCTTTTTAATAGTATTTTATGTAAGTATATAAGTTCATAATTTTTTACATAAGAATTTTTTGTACCTTAAAGGTTTTATGTTTGGAGTTTTTTCTTTATCTTGAATCTTCAGTAATGACTATGGCCTGGGAGAGCACCAGGTGATGACAATCCATAGCATAAAGTCATTCATTCACAGTGTGTAACACTTGTGGATGGAAGCCAGTGAGTTTCATGTAATTATTACAGGTGGGGTTGGGAGCACTGCTTGTTATTGAGGGTCTGAGCTTCTTATGCCCCCAAACTTACTTGTGTTGGCAAACACTTGCTTTTTACAACATCTGTGAAGTTGCACATATACAGATTAAATGCATCAGTTGGAAATTTCTACCTTAAGATACAGCCTGTATCCTTAGGCCCTTGTTGTCCTTGGTCATTTGTTCTTCAGGAAGCCTTATGAGGCCTCTGCTCAGTCCTCAGGTGTACATAATGCAACATTTGGTACCCAGCTGTACGTAACGCAAATGCCCTCCCTTTTGAGTGTTCCTTTTTCTCCTGGGATCTGACTCGGGGCTCTGGTGAGTGATGTGTTGAACTGCTGAGCACTCACAGCTTAACTAAAACTTCTGGGAGCTGTGCTTGCATTTTCTATCCGAAGTGCCATGTCTGAGTATGTATTACAGAAGATACTAAGTTTAGTCTGTCTCTGGGCAGCTTCTCAAAATTAGTAATGTGAAGTACAGAGACTTTAAGGTAAAGCATTATTTCTATCTGCAAAACAGGGATGGTCTATGCTCGAAAATCTGTTTAAAACTTCTGTATGCTTGTAAAGCTCAAATGCTACAGGGATCAACATAAAAAGAACATGGAACTGTTGGAACAAGTCCAGAGGAGGGCCATGAGGATGATCAGGGGACTGGAGCACCTCCTGTATGAAGACAGGCTGAGAAAGTTGGGGCTGTTGAGCCTGGAGAAGAGAAGGCTGCGTGGAGACCTCATAGCAGCCTTCCAGTATCTAAAGGGGGCCAATAGGGATGCTGGGGATGGACTCTTCATTAGGGACTGTAGTGACAGGACAAGAGGTAACAGGTTAAAACTTAAACAGGGGAAGTTTAGATTGGATATAAGGAGGAAATTCTTTCCTGTTAGGGTGGTGAGACACTGGAATGGGTTGCCCAAGGAAACTGTGAATGCTCCATCCCTGGAGGTGTTTAAGTCCCGGTTGGACAGAGGCTTGGGTGACATGGTTTAGTGTGAAGTGTCCCTGCCCATGGCAGGGGGGTTGGAACTTGATGATCTTAAGGTCCTTTCCAACCCTAACTATTCTATGATTTTATGGTCTCTGTAGAAGTCTTAAGTGTCCTAAGATGCTGTTTTGAATGTTGTTTTAGTACAGGAAGTGTGGAGTGAAAACAGAACCAGAGAGACCTTCAGAGGCAGGGCATGTTGTACTGTTTGCTGCCTGGACATTAGAGCTGGCAGTGAAAGGAAATTATAATCAGTGGGGGAGTAAATATGTCTGTACATAAGTAATGAGAAAAGACAGATCTAGGGATATGAATGAAGAGTGGTCAACTGGGTTTGAATTTTCTAACTCTTGTTTTATCTTATTAACTGACCTGATGATAGAGGATAGGTATACAGCTAATGTCAAATGATAGTGTTTGTGCCTTCAGTTTAATTTCAAACAGTATGACAAAAATGCAGTAAGGACAAAATTGATTTTATTTTTAAAGCAGCTTCTTCCAACTTTACAAAGGCGTTCATCAAAATACAGGCTTTATCAAAATTAAACCGTATGGTAAAGCTGCAGCTTACAAGATTTGTCAGTATCAGAGCACAAAGGAAAATATGGAAGAAATATAAAGGATAAAAAAATATTTTTCCTGTTCTTCGCCTGTCAGTACCAAAGAGTTTGTTTTTGTGCTGTCATAGAAGTAGGCCACTGACCTCTTCTTCCTCATTTCTGTCCTGCTATGTAGAAGATCCACAATAATTATTTAGCTATCATGCCGTTGGCCCAGAAATAAGGTGTTTTGTTTTTTTTTTTCTTTGGCCACATCCTTTTTTCATTGTTTTCTAGTGTGACTCATTTTGGAAGTGGAAGTTGGCTGTAGTAGCCAGTCACAGCTGCGTTCAGTGGATTTTTAGACAGTGCATGGTCCTTTGTACTTAGGGAGCAATTCTGTTCATTTACATTTCAGCACAGTTTTGCTTATCTAAAAAGGACTTTTCTGAGAACTACAACAAACACTGTGGATTTTGTGGTAAAAATCAGACAGTGCAGCCTGATGACACTTGTGGCTCACAAGTATGTGATGTGGATCCGTACTCCACAAAGCATAACCAATCGGTGCTCCACTCTACTTCCTTCTAAATGTAAGTTAAAACGACTCTTAATCAGAAATAAAATCCTAACAAAGTATTTAGGACAAGGACCAAGGACTTCGAAACTGTTTCATCACCCCAGTCCTGAAGTTCTACTGCCCACTATTGAGGTACCTGACTGCAGATGTGCCAGTGCTACACCCTGTCACAGAGTGTCTTATAAGCAAAAGTATCTGGATTATACCTCTGATTTGTAGTTTGTCAAAGTAAACACAAATTTCTGGGGTTTACAAATTTGATATTCACCTTTCTAAGTCTTCATATTATATACGGATTTTTTAATATGTTCTGTTTCCAGAGAGAGTGCAGAAGGAGGAAGAGTCATTGTAGAAGTTGATGGCAAAGTGGCAAAAATCAGAAATATAAAGGTATGCTTTTTTGTTGTCTTCACTTTCTCACATAAGGATCCTGATATCCTGATTCTTTTCTGTGTTTGCTTGCCTATTGAATCATTCTAAATGAAATGCTAAGGGAGAAGTTTAAACCAGCAAAGCTCTAGAATAAACCGCAGTGAAAGTGTGAGGGAGGATTGTTTTGGTTTGGGTTTGTATGGTCTTTTTTTTGACAGGGGATGTAATATGTAGTTGTGTTTTCTGTATTTTACATTTGTGAAAGCTTCTGCAGTCTGGCTGTGCGCCATCATTCAAAGCTGTTAGTAAATTGCTTAGGATTTTGTGCTTATCTCTCTAACATCTGCACAATTTCTTTCCCTGCGTGCCTCCTCCTCATACTTGCTCTCAGAGTGCAACTGACTTGCATGAAATGAAGCAAAATGTGTTCAGCTACACTTCAGGCCTTGGTAAAAGACCAAGAGCTGTAAGAATAAACTGAATGTAGCTGTTGTCCTTGAGAGTTCTGGAGCCAGCACGCATGGGAACCAGCCCTCTGGTTTAGGCTCTTGAACTACTTAAAGCTCCTGTGGCCCTTCACTAAATTAACAGAATAGAAGCAAAGCAATTTTGTGTTGTCAAACATGTTTCTTGTCAAAAGGCAAATAAAAACGAACCATGAGATTACAGTGGGGATCCTAGAAGATGGATGCATTTTGCATTTCTTTTCTCCTTTTTCTTTATGTCTGCAAGCAATTCAGCTGTTCTAAATTGCTAGTTCAAGAATACTTTGTTTTGAAGAGAAACCCAGGCAAAAATGGAATGGAGTTAAATTATTTACTTTTTCCCATTATAATTATTTTTGTAGTGAATACAGGTGCTTGTTTTAAAGAAAGAAGAGGAAAAGTATTAGGGGCATGAGAGGCCTCATGGATGTAAAATATTGCTTATGTTTTGCCTATTTCCTTTTCAAAGGGTGTATTTACAGAACTATAGAATAGTCAGGGTTGGAAAGGACCTCAAGATCATCCAGTTCCACCCCCCCTGCCATGGGCAGGGACACCTCACACTAAACCATGTCACCCAAGGCTCTCTCCAACCTGGCCAGGGATGGAGCATTCACAACCTCCCTGGGCAAACTATTCCAGTGCCTCACCACCCTTACAGTAAAGAATTTCCTCCTTATATCCAATCTAAACTTCCCCTGTTTAAGTTTTAACCCATTACCCCTTGTCCTGTCACTCCAGTCTCTAATGAAGAGTCCCTCCCCAGCATCCCTATAGCCCCCTTCAGACACTGGAAGGCTGCTATGAGGTCTCCATGCAGCCTTCTCTTCTCCCGGCTGAACAGCTCCAACTTCCTCAGCCTGTCTTCATACAGGAGGTGCTCCAGTCCCCTGATCATCCTTCTCTGGACTTGTTCCAACAGTTCCATGTCCTTTTTATGTTGAGGACACCAGAACTGCACACAATACTCCAAGTGAGGTCTCCTGAGAGCAGAGTAGAGGGGCAGGATCACCTCCTTGGACCTGCTGGTCATGCTCCTTTTGATGCAGGGCTGTGAGGATTTGGGCCCCTGAGCTTCCCTCAGCAGGTGGAGGCCTCAGTCCCGCAGCTGCCTAATGGAGTCCAGCTGAAGCTTGTCAGACCCAGAGGGCTTTTGATTGTATTTGTTTAAAGAAGCTCTGGCTTGCCTCAGCATCCTGGGGAAGCCGCAGTAGTGGGGCTGGTTGCTTGTGGTGGGACAAGGAGGGTTGTTTGGAGTTGCAAAGAGGCTGACTTCTGGATGTTTGGTCTCTGTGAGTTTGTAATTGGCGCGTAGAGGGAGTGAGTTTGCTTTATGAATAAACTCTATTTAGACAGCCTTTGAATCCAAGTTAGTGTTGAATTTTTATACACCAATGTTTATGTTGTTTTATCTGGGGTAGGTGCGCTTTGCAGTTCAAAACAAAGCCCTTCATCATCTCTGTGACCAGGGGCTGCTCTTCCTGAGGTGGAGGGGTTTTTTTAATTATTTTTAGTTTTTACTTTACACATTGCAGTAGGAGGGCAGTGCTCCAAGCTGTCTTCTGCTTATTGCTGCAAAAAACCTAAGAAAATTAAAGGTAACTGTATAAAAACGTGTCTGAATCGTGACACTAAAAGTGTTACTATTGAGGATGACCTGTAGGCTTACTAAGATCTTAATTCTGATGAAAGGAAACCTTGTTTATATTTAATTCAAGTTGACAATTTTAGAATCATGCAGAAGTGAAAATTCATGAAATCCTCTTACTTCAAAGATAATTTTAAATTATTTCTGTCCTCTTTGTTTTTTCTTGGTTGAAAAACCCCAGCAACCCACAAGCCTAACTGATGGGTCTGTAAATTAATTATCCCTATAAACTTTCCAGCTGGCAGTAGAGTTCAGTGCTTACAGCACCCTTTATCCAGTACTCTGGCAGACAGCATTGTCACCCCTGGTTTCCGGGGCCGTTAGTTAAGCAGTTTGTTTAGGTACCAAACTATAACAAACCTTTTCTTTCCTGCTTATGTTACTGCAAAGGTTACAATAATGTTACCAATTAGGTCAAAACTGCATGTGGAGAGTGTTAATTTTGTGTAATGTTTTGACTCATTGCTCCCCTTCTTTGATGAGTAGAGCAACGTCTAGTTCCTTGTTTGCAAGTTTATCTGTTGTATTACAAATCTCTTGGTCACGATTATACAGAAAGACTTACATGAGTCCCTTAATTTCAGTCACTGTTTCTGACTATTATTCTAGAAAGTCTTCACTGTCATTAGTATTAACCGATAAAGGTCAAGTTTGTTTTTGTGAGTATAGGCCCAGTGACAGAAGCATTAGCTTGCAACCTTGACTAAGCCGAGGGGAAATGGGGGAAGAGATTTGCGTTTTCAACTGTGCAGTGAGAAAGTTGCTTTTGTTTTCTCACTTGGGGCCCGATTTCTGTAATGTGATTCTTGGTGAAATAGAAGAATGACAGAGAGCTATCTAGAGGTTTGTAGAGCTTTTCTGCCAATACATAGATGTGAAAATTAACTAAATTATTGTATACAGCCTGGAGAGCCTTAGCTGTAGTAAATGAACCCTTCAGTAAAAATGCTTCAGAAGTTTGCATTTCTCTTCCGCACTGAGCATCAAAGAAAATTGAATAAAGAGGATAAACTGTGCCTTTTCCACAATACAAATTCTAGATAACCTTCCTGTTAGTTTTAAAATGCTTATTTTTTGTTCAGCTTCAAAGTGAAGTGATCTTTCTGTCTTTCCTTCTGTTGTCAGGTTGACAGTAGGCTGGATAGTACTTGGGACTCAAGAGAAAAGACTGTGGCCTTCAGTTTTGATTACTGCTACTGGTCAGTTGATCCAGAAGATCCAAAGTATGCATCTCAGGAAATGGTAAGTGATGCTGTTCTCTGTGTCTGTGTTCCCATCCTGGTTTGTCCCTTATAATTCCACCTACAGAAAGAGATTGAGACACAGGGTACATGAAATAAAATTCTATTTTCTGCCCCATCTTTTTCTTACCTTGTTTGTAATACTACAGTGCTCAGTCCTTTTTGTCTTAAATAGGTGCAGTACGACTTCAATACCCTTGTTTGTCAACTAATGCACACTTTCATTTGATCTTTTAACTTTGGCAGTGATCATTAAGTGTGATAATCTGATATTGTGGTTTAAACAAAGTCAGCCATAAATCATGCAGTCGCTGTCTCACTCCCCGCCCTTCTTGCCCTCCCCCTGCTCCCAGAGGAATGGGGAGGAGAACCAAAAGAATGCAACTCCCACGGGTTGAGATAAGAACAGTCCAGTAACTAAGGTATAACACAAATCACTACTGCTACCACCAATAATAATAGTGATAAAGGAAATAACAAGGGAAGAGAATACAACACCTCACCACCCGCTGACCGATAACTCGCCCCCCAGCCTGACCATGCACCGACCAATACCTCATCCAACCCCGCAGTGATCTAGCCCTTCCGGGTAACTCTCAGTTACATCCTGGCCATGACGTGCTGCGGTATGGAATACCTCTTTGGTCAGTTTGGGTCAGGTGTGTGTCTCTGCTTCCTCCTGGCTTTCCCTCCTCCCTTGCAGAGCATGAGGCTCACAAAGTCCTTGGGCAGACCAAACATTTGAGTGGTAACTAAAAACATCGGTGCTGTGAGCACCGTTCCCAGGCCGAAAGTCAAAAACACAGCACTGCACCAGCTACTAAGATGGAGAAAAATGACTGCTACTGCTGAACCCAGGACATCTGAGGACTCTAGTTTAGCAATGAGATTTGGGATGGGGGATTGGATTCTAAAGGGAGAAAGCTCTAAAGTGGAAGAGTGCAAAGTGATTTTGCTGAGAGGATCAACAATGAAGTAATCACACCTTTAAATAATGGTAGTAAATTGTATTTATACTGTATAGTTTTGAGCACTTTTCCTTGCTGAAGCATCGGAAATCCCTTATAACTGATGGAGACTCCTCTTAGAAGATCTGATCCTTGATGGGTTAAGAAAGAAGATTGAAGGATTCAGTATTAAAATAGGTGGTGATTGCAATTCCTTGTTAATGAGTAAGTGATTATTAAATCTACTACAAATAAATACAACGTACAGTAAAGCTGTCTGAATTTTTCACTATGTATGCATACCATCACATGTCAGCATTAAAACGAGTTTTTACTGCTGTTTTGTCTTCAGAATTATTTCATTTAATTTTGCTTGTTGTCAGTACAATTGTTCCTGAAAACTCATACTGTATAATTGTGTTGCTTTTCACAGTAAGCATCACTTAAAACTGAGCTAATCCTGTAAAATTTGTATTTCTGGTACTGATGAGCACAGGATTGTTTTACTTTTGGGAGTCAATGCTTCGAAAAACTATCAGATTTGTCAATTAGCAGAACTACAGGGGAAATTCTTGACTGTGCTCTGTTTCATTCTTGGTGCAGTAGTGTGAAAGAGGTTTGGGGAATTTGGGAAGTGTAGATAAACTTCCATTTTAGATATTACAAATAATAAACCTTTAAATGTTGAATTGCTGGTTCAACAAATGTTGAATTTACCTCTGGTTTTTAGGTGGCCAGTTTGGGATCCTTGGGTCTATTGCTTTTGTTTTCTCACTGGACAGCTGAATACTTTGCGCTGATGTTGAACTGAGATTTTCATTTGTTTTTCACAGATGTGCAATTCTTTCCAAAGGGGAACCTACCTTCTTTTGTTAAAGACAGTTTTGGGGGTGGGGGGTTATAAGTGGATTTGTTGGTGCATAAACAGAATAGAGAATCAAGAAATGCCCGAAGGGAAGAGTCACTGGTTAAATCAAGCAAGGCTGCTGGCCACCAAAGGAAGAAGGAAAGGAAACTAATTTGCTACATCCTTCTAAATACAGAGAGATGAATGAGGCAGTAGGGCTACATGGCCGAGGGAAAGAAACTGAGTATCAAAAAATTGTGTGGGAACAGAGAAAGAAAGGATAGCAAATAAATTTGAATTTGGGACAGGGCAGAGCACTTAATGGGCAAAATAGGAAATGAGAAACAAAAGGAAGCTCTAAAAGATTATATAGGCATTTAAAATGGAAAAGCCATGCCTGGTTTTTGTAATTTTATCTCTGCAATTTGTTACCTGCATTTTCCAGGTTATAAACAAGGGAATGGTTTTCCAAACGGTCACTGTCAAGATAATGTTATGCTCTTAAAAAACCCTAAAACTTTGATGATGTTCCTTTTCCTGCCATTTTTGAGACAAATTTGATTTTTCTCTGCGCCATGTTGTTGTAGAAGTAGTTCAGTCTTGCAGAGGGAGAGTGATGAGTGTCTGCGCCTGGACATTACCATTGGCATACAATGAAGTAGCTTCAACATGTTTCCCTGCATTCTTGTATTAAGTTTTTCTAAGACGTGAATTTGATACTATATGAAACCTTCTTTAGTAAAGGTGGACGTTTTGTGTAAAAGTGACTATTGCTTCCTTCTGCCCCACCCCCTTCCTCCACAGATGTCTTCAGGAAGCTGTGTGTAGTTCATGATTGTTTTCCAAAGACAGTGTTGGAAATCCATCACTCTTCAGCCATTGTATAACTCTGGGATTATGCCTTAATAGAGATTAATGACATATAGTAGTTTTACTGCAAAATGGAAGTGTGATGATTTCATAATGATCTTTAGGGTTATAATTTTTATTCTTATAGGCAGATTCCGGCTTGCTGATTCATTCTGGTGGTTGAATATGGTAGTTAATTTGTAGGTACTTTGGGACCTGTATAGTCATCCTGCAAACATCTAAATTTAAACTTATTTAGATTCTTGTCTGGCATAGAACAGTCTGTTTCAATCTCTTGAGTTTCCTTTGTAAAACCTAAAATAGATCTGAATCTTCCCTCTAGTCTTTTTTAGCTCCACTAAGCAAAGAAAAATGTTTAAAACAGTTGTAAGCTTAAGTAAATGCTCATTTAAGTCCTACTGACAAAAAAAAAATCAGCTTGATCTCATGTAAGAGCAGTTAAACAAAATCTGAAGGGTATTCTGCACAAGAGTATTCTTAAGGCTACAGAACACATGGAAGCATGAAGTATTCTTGTTGTTGGTTGTTACAGTTTCAGTCCTCAGCTTCCCTCCAGCCATCCTACCCATCCGGTTATTGTGCATGCACAGTAACTGTGGTGGGCAGACTGACCCACAGGATGTGCAAGCAGGTATTTACACACAGCAGTTGCCATAGATAGCTGGTGTGTAGCAATCTGCTACTTTTGATAAGAGGAATATGTGCCATGACTAATAGGCTTTGAATATTAGGGATAATGAAATCCAGAGAAGTGTTTAACTGCTCAACTTGCACTGGTTTCAGTGGGATCCAGATCTCCAATTGCATTTTCTTGAAATGTTTTTTGTAGGTCTCAAGCTTAGTTGTTGTACCTCAGTGTATCAGTTAAATGGAGAGGGTAATTTTTATACAGGAAATTGTAATTTAGATGTTAGAAATTTTACCTCAGGCTTTTGAAAGAATGAAATAAATATTTGTATAGGTCAAGAAATTTCACACTTCTGGGCTTGACTTGATAAGGATTTTATTTAGGTTTGGCATAATGGTTAGGTTTATGCAGGTATGAATATTTCTTGAGTGGCTCTGTGAATATTATCACTTTCAGTAATGCTGTGACCCTTACTGGGCCTTCTAATATGAGTCATAAAAACACTTGACCAAAAAGACCATGACCAAACAAACAGATTACTGTCTCTGAAGTAAATCTAAGAAATATGAGAGTGCACAGAGATGGTTGTAAACAGCTGAGTGATGATACATTTTTGCTCTTTTTCCCCTGAAAGATTACATTGTCTTTTGGATGAGAAGTGGCTGCCTGTTCATAAAAAAAACCACATTAAAATAATCTTGGTTTCAAGATTTTTATGGGCCTTCTCTATATGTCGAGGTTGCACTGTGATGTATCACATGTGAGAAACATTATCTTTAACAAATCAGAATGGTTTTACAAGTTAGAAAGTAGTAAGGGTATGAAAACAAATTCTATTATGAATGTCAATATCTGCTCCTAATTTCTTGACCTTCCCTTCCCCACTTCCCTATTCTTCAGCACTGGTTTACCAGTGTGAGTGAAAGAACAACTGTCTCTCTTTTGATGCACTTCACTGTGCGTTGGAACCACTGAAGATTTTACAAGCCTGCTCAGAAGCAAGACAATGTGTTAAATGAAAGGTTGTTTATTTCTAGACTTTTTATATAAAGTGACACCGGTTCTCATTGTCTGTCTGTCCATTGTAGATGTGTGCTACAAAGAGCTCCCTTACATTCGCATACGTTATCGAATTATTTTTATCTTTGTTTATAAATACATTTATTGAGGAGACTGTGTTTTATTCTGCACTCTGAAGGCAGAAATGGGGATTCCTGATGGCTCATGAGAGTGAGCACACATGACCCCTGTAAACAGATTTTTCCTTTCTTTTTTGTTTTGAAAGTACCATAATTGCTTTTCATCACATTTAACTTCCCAGGATCATTGGGTTTTATACTACTTCCAGAGGAGGCCACAGGATGATCAGGGTGCTGGAACACCTCCCGTATGAAGATAGGCTGAGAAAGTTGGGGCTGTTGAGCCTGGAGAAGAGAAGGCTGCATGGAGACCTCAGAGCAGCCTTCCAGTATCTGAAGGGGGCCTACAGGGATGCTGGGGAGGGACTCTTCATCAGGGACTGTAGTGATAAGACAAGGGGTAATGGGTTAAAACTTAAACAGGGGAAGTTTAGATTGGATTTAAGGGGGAAGTTCTTTACTGTGAGGGTGGTGAGGCACTGGAATGGGTTGCCCAAGGAAGCTGTGAATGCTCTATCCCTGGCAGTGTTCAAGGCCAGGTTGGAGAGAGCCTTGGGTGACATGGTTTGG